CCATCCATCCATCCATCCATCCATCCATCCATCCATCCACAGAGGGAGAGAGAGAGTGTGGCATAAATAAAACATTTCATTTTTATTTCAATAGTTTATATTGATTGTGAACTGCTGCAGGAGAACTGTTATCCTCAAAAGTGAGGTATAAACGTAATAAGCAATAAATAATACATTACAATTCTTTCTAGAGATTATTATGTTTTCTGAAGCTGATCTTCCAATCAAACATGGATAAACACAAAAACATATTGCTGCTGATGCGTTTTAACAGAGATTACATGACACCCAGGCTGTTTGTGTGGGACAATATGACTGTTCAGTCACAAGAAATCTGAAGGTTCTTTAATTCATGTGAATTGGTCTTGTCCTGTTATAGTTTTGTTTTGTTTTCAAATAAATATATACACTAATATAATTTTGGGAAGAAATATAATTAAGGATTTCAGTGTAATGTTGAATTATATTCCTAAAACATGGAATTTTCCATCTCATAATGAGCTTTGGCTCTATTGAGTCTGCGGTATGGCAAAGAGGATAATCCTATGGAAGTGGAAAGAAAGTCACTCTCTTGAGTTTAAGGATCCAGGATATGAGCGTTATCTATTTTTAAAGTTTTTTTCTTCTAAAAATAAAGCTGACACAGTACATTGATACATGGTTTAGATTTAATGATAAGCTTAACAACTGAATTAACTGAAGTATAAGTATTTATAATTATATAGATATTTTGTTCTTAATTAGATGGGTTGGTTATGTTTAGTTCATTTAATAATTATAATATTTTTTCTCTGTTCTGAATAATCACTATTTGATGAAGGTCCTTTCCTTTTGCACTTCACCATTTTAATACATAACATTTCAAAAAATCACTGCTTAATCATTAGCTTGGGTATTGCCTACCACTTAAATATGGAGTAACAATGCTCAGATATCTCACTTCTCCACAAATCCAAGGTATGATTGGTGTAGGGTAGAAACAGCCTAAGAGGAGCTTTAGTTTTTCAACTGTTTTGCCTGTCTCAATATCCTTAAACCAAGAGGAGGTACAATGGCTACATAATAGCTCCAAGCCTGTTCCTCTTTAAATTTCAGGAAGGCTTTTAGTCATAAGTGATTCTGTTCTCACTGTATTGTTTTAACTTGTTAGTACTCTGGCTTTATTTTATTTTGAATCTGCTGCTTTGCTGCTATTTGTAGCATCTCCCTGTTCTTTTATAATATCATCATTTTGGTCTTAGATGTCTTTAAATGTTTTCAATAAATGAATACTCATTTGATATAATGAATACTGTCCTCTCTTTTGCTTAAAAAATTCACAGAGTGACCTGTTCTTCTTATCTAAAAATGGTTTGATCCACTTGTGATATCTAATAAAAATAATAATATAGAGAGAAGGCGTACTTAACTACTATTTTTATCTCTTTTGCAGTGTCTAGGGGAAACAAACAAACCTACCTCTTTTCCAGGAACAGGTTATTTGCTATCTGCTCTCAGGATTTTCTTGTCACTTTGGCACAGTTGCTTCTAATACTCTATGAATTTCTGCTTCCAAAGGACCTGTCATCATATTGGAGGAACAGCTCAACATACTGTACTAGGAGAACTGTTATGACATGCCTGTTGCTATGGCAACCAAAGCAGAGGTGCCTGTCAGGGACCAATTTACTTATCCAGAAGGGCACTGCTACTTCTAAAGGGAAAACATGCTTACCCATAAAGCTCTGAATAAGCTGAGAACTAAATTAAGCAGGAAAATTCTGCTTGACAAACATAAAAATAAATAAATAAAACCAGAGACAGAATGTGGAATAATTTTAAATGTATAATTATAAGGAGAAGTTGATCAGAGGTTCAACGGCTAAGAGTTTTGCATTACTGTATTTATTTTGGAGAGAATGAGATATTAAAGTTAACCCTTGATGCACTAAACTCTGTTATTTTTTTTTCAGGTACACACACACACACAAATAAATATGAAAAAGTATCATAAATAACGAATGAGCATCTCATAAGTTGCCTTCTAAAAACAGTTATACTGAAACTATTATCAATGCTTGGAATCAATCTTATTTACTGCTGAATCATCCATTCAAACATTATAAAAACACGCATCTTACTGTATATGCTTGTAAATAATTGAAGTTACTTAATACCTGAAAAGTGGACCCATTGTATCCTTGTTGATAAATGACTTTCTGAATAGAATGAAGGAGTTTGGTGTAACCACATGTCTTATTACTAAAGAGAGAATCAGAATATTTTATTTAATATATTTTTATATTAGCTGAAACATTAAAATATTCAACTTTACAAATGCAAGAGATAAGAAATAAATGTCTTTAAACAAGTTAGTTAATAAATGCTCAATGTGGTTGCATATAAAACAACTATTCTCAAACTAGCTCAATAAGACCTTAGTTCCTACATTTCCAGCACTTTAGTTCACCAATGGGCCATGGACAGCTACTTCAATGAACCAAGTGAATCCTTGTCATTATTAGCCTGAATAGGCCAATCTGTATCTACTTGACCTAGAAGACAGATGAATACCCTGTAGTCCATGTGCCTACCCCAGCCTCATCTTTGCAACTCCCACAGCATTTCCAAGTTTCGGTGAAGTTATCACTGTAGCCCCTGGATGGCTACATATTGTGCACCTGCTATGTCTGAGGAAGTGCTATCCCTTTCAGAGATAAAGATGGAAGGTCTGGAGGGGATTTCAAAACTCACAGGGTTGAACCAAAGTCTCTTCTTCCCCATCCTTTAGACACTGGGACAGAAATTCAACAGCATCAGTTGGTCAACCCAGGTCAGAGATGTATAATTGGGTACTGTCAACATACTGATGATATTTTATCCCATGGACACTTATTTATTTATTCAATTTATAAGGCTGTCCACTCACTAGGCAGCTCTGGACATTTATATTAATTACTTGGGGTTATACAGATTAATTTCAATATGAATCTGGTTTAGGCCCAAAGCCTAAACACAAATTGTGTTTTGTACTCATTCAAGGTGCTTTTCTCCAATTTTTGAGAATTTCCCAACCTCCAGTAAAGCTGTAAAAATTACAGTGTAGCTTATTGAGCATAGTAGGTAAATTATGTTTATCCTTAATCATTAAGTTAAGGATAAAAATAAATAATAAATAGCTTGGAAAATATTCATTGCTTTTGCACACATCTAAATCTGAATCCAGCTTTATATATTAAGTGCTAACTAAAAAGATGAAATTTTGTCTATTATTCTGTGAAAAGTGAAAGATTACACAAAGCAGTTATGTTAATATTTCCTAGTTAAATGTCCCATGTATAATTTAATGTGTGAAACACATAAGATTCTAGATGATATGTTTACTGTTGCAAAAATTTTTAAGGCAGATATAGCAAACAGATAATATTCACAGCAAGGATATGCTATGTTATGTTATGTTATGTTATGTTATGTTATGTTATGTTATGCTATGCTATGCTATGCTATGCTATGCTATGCTATGCTATGCTATGCTATATTATATTATATTCACAAATAATATATTCACAATGTATGTCCAATGTTATTAGAAGTCTTTTCATACAATTTTGTTAAAGGATGTTTTAATTCTGCTAGTTTGTTTAAATAGTAAATTTTCTTCTTTAGGAATATAGCAGGAATATATTGATGAAGCAGGAGTGTGTAAGAAGACAACATTAGTTACAACAAAGGCTCTGGCTTCTCTATCAATAGTTTCTAGACATTTATCAAAGGGAAGGTTATCAAAATGCATGACAGATGGGACTGTTATCAGGACAGAGGTTAGAGCAGTTTTAGCAATACAGTATTTACCATATTTATCCATATTCTACGCACATCTATGCTCATTCACAATTCTAAATGTTCCCCTCCCTCTCCCCTAAGGTGGTATATAAGTAAATAAAATATTATTCCTTGGATATCCTCTCTGACATAATACTAAAATACCTTATATAGAATAACAGGAAAATCTGCTGGGCAACTATAAAGAATTATCAGTTATTATATAAGTTACAGATTTATTTATGTTAGCTCAAAGTAAATTATGCAAAGCAAACTATGACAAACCTCCAATTAATCTGTTTATAAATAATAAAGCAACTATATATTATGTCATGGGGCTTTCTGTACAATTTCAGGTACTGAAGTTTCCACAACTGAGACAGCAAATTGCTTTGAAAAATTGATACATATTTGGAGCATAAGCAGGAACTCCAAAGAAAATTAAGGTTGTGCATACAGCTCTGTCACATGAAGAAAAACAGTTCTTCTGGATGGTGAAGTATAAAACTGCACAATATTTTTCAATTATAACTTAGATAACAACAGCTCTCCTGAGTAATTTTGCCTACTTTACACAAATAATCTGCTTCTATCTGATGTGATGCTAATCTTTTAATATGCAAGTGTATACAGAAATACACCTTATGCCTAGATACTTTGATATGTTCTGGAGAAACATTAATACATTCTAATGATAAATTTCATTTAGTCTCTGTAATTTTTTCAACTCTTACTTTTCATTTCATCTATTTATCTTTTTTACTCCATTTACACGTGGTCCTTGGTAATGGTGCCTTGTTCAGCAACAGTTTGAACTTGTGACAATGCTGAACGAGTGGCACTTATGACTGGTCGTTGGAGTTCTGGCCATCGCAGCATCTCCGGAGTCATGTGATTGCAATCCGGGCACTTGGTGCCTGCTCGTGATTAAGATGTTGCAGCATCCTGTGGTCACATGGTTGCCATTTGCAACCTTCTTTGCTGGCTTCTGACAGGCAAAGTCAATGGGGAACCCAGCAGGGGTTTGCAAATGATGACCACATGACATCCTTGCTTAATGACCCATGGTGATTTGCTTAATGATGGCAACTGGAATTGCTGTCACGACCATTTTGCTTAACAATGGCAATTCTGGCCCAAATGTGGTTGTTAACTGAGGACTACCTCTATAAGACATGGAACCGGTATGATAAATAGATAAATAAATCCAATAGTAGATAAGCTTTCTAAGATATTTACTAGATCATATCTAGTAAACATGTAAGTTTGTTCATTTATACTAATGTATGATTAAGGGACTCTGACTAGGTTCCCTTCTCAAGGATGAAATTGGAAAATTTGAGGGAAATGAAAAACAGGCGTTAACAAGGGATTTAACAGGAATAGCTCAAAAATGACAAATATCAACAGCATCCCATGAAAAGCCTGTCCTGACCCCATCATACAGACAGCTAAAGAGAAGGAGGAGCTGCCAAAAATCAGGTGGTGGCAACTTGATTTTTTAATGGCTAAGATTGCCGAGATGAAAAGAGCACAGAGGACACACCTCTGTGTTGTCTATGAATGCATCTTTTCCCTCACATCTGAATAGTTCTAATTCCATTAATTCAAAACAATTCATCCCCAACCAAAAATGCAGCACTTGAGGTAGTTTGGGGAAAGCAGATTCTGCCTTCTCCACCAGAACTATATATTCTTCTTGCAGAACAAGGGTCTCTGCTATAATCAACTCCTCTTTTCCTCCACATAAATCCCACTCTTTCCTTCCTTTTCATATATCATACCTATCTATTGACAGTGGGTGGTATATGGAAGAACCTCATATTAAAGTGTCTCTGACAATCGTAACAGTAACTATAATTAGACTCTGTAGGCATTATATTAATAGGGTTTTCCTAATCTTTGATTTGTTGTCTAACAAGTGAGTCAACTCTTTAAAGTAAGCTATAGCAGATATTACAGTTGGCTAGTTAGGACAGTCAACTGTATTAGCATCTTGTGGGCACACAGAGAAGTTTCAGGTGAGGTCCAAGAGCAGCTACTCGATAAATTAACAAGGTTGTATGTTTTCCAACCCAGGCTTTTTGCAATTAAGAGGTGAACTCAAAACACAGTGAAAATAGTGGCAAACACAGCAGAATGTTTTACTGGTGTTCTTGACCAGTCAACTACTGAAAGTAAAATGAATTCTACAAAAATTTGTATCTTTACAATTAGTCTTTTTCTCTGCCCAAGCTTTGTGAACTCACCATGACTTTCCATCAAGATCCAAAGCTGTTTCTTCAAGAATGAAAAAACCATCCCACTTAACATTCTGGATTAGTTCTGGAGCCATTGTTTTAGATAAATCAAAGTAGTGTCCAAATTTTGAAAAGGCTGTATGGGTTACCTGTGAAAACATACAATGAATTTATTATTCTCTGAATAATAGTATATAATATACAAATTGTCAATGAATTTAAAGGCCAAGGTGTTTAGTAGCATCTGATTATTAGTGTTCATCATGAATCAGGGTAACCAAAGCTACTGCTGAAATTTGATGCCAAACCTGTTTCATTCAAGATTCTCCATAGCTAAGACATTTCAAAACTCCTGAGGACACTTCCAAGAATGTAACATTTGTTACTGGTCAATGACGATCTAATACAGTAGGCTTAAAGAGAAGGCTTTACCATAGCCATCTTAATGTACTTTTCTGTAATGAAATATTTACACATTCAAGACCTACATCAGACCTGTCTTCTTTTATAAGCCCAGATAAGCAAAAGGTTGAGAAGAAAAAGAATTGTGCACACACACACACACACTAATTCACAAAACTAGATTTAGGGCCTAGCTAGCTGAGCAATCACCTCTTTCCCATTGTCTCCCAGTTAATAAGACTAGACAGAATAGGCATGCTGTAGGTTCTATCTTTAAAACTGTTGCTGCCCTTAGGAATAATACCCATCTGTAAGTTCAAGTAGCCCCAACCCTGCTGTATGGATCTTGAAGACCTGGCTCTTTCCCTACAAGAATAAGAGTCTTATAAACAAATTATATGAATGTGTTGGCTATGGGGGTCCCAGGGTTACCACCTTCTTTTATTCCATTATTTTACTGGATGTGTTTTTAATTTGTATGTGGCCCAGAGTTGTTATGAATTGAGCAGACTTATAAATTTGATTTATAAATAAATATTTTATTTTAATTCTTAACTAACTCATAATGTTCAAATGAGACACAATACGAGCAATTTTATCTCCCAACTACCTAGCAAAACTAATACCGTAAGCTATTTATTCCTCTTCAATCATACATAGTAACTGAAGGATCTCCAGTAACAGTGAACTAGAATCTCCTCAACAATCTCCCCTCGTTGAGGAAGGTTTTTCCCAGTTTTCAGATGTACATGTCTATTACTATAGGATAACATCATAAAGCTGTTAATATATTGCTAAAATCACATCAACCCTGGTTCAGTGGACAGCATACAGTTCACTTTTCTCAACACATGCACTTTGCTGTCAGCTTGACAGAAACAATTACCCATTTAAAAGAGTAAGAATCTTCCATATAGAAGAGTAAGAATTCTCAGTGCTTCAACAAAACTGGTACACATTGAGGCCAGGATTCATACTCTCAAATATGTAATTGCTGTTGACAATATTAAAAACAACAACTATGTGACTGATACTGACAATGGTTCTTAGTCAAGTCTTGGTATCTTTATACACAACTTCGAGTACTAAATATATTATTTATGGGCTACAGCTTATGTTATCCGAACAAAGTTCCCTTTGCACAATGGGATTTCTCTCTGTTCTTCTCCACCTGCATCTGTTCTAGAGTAAAAAAAAAAAAAAAGGGCTTGCCTAGGTGGCTGCAGAAAGAAGGAATTGATTGTCTTAATGGTGTCTTATCTACATATGTTATTTAAAGCATTATACTGCTCTTTGGCCAAACAGGTTTTTACAATGACTTCTCTCAGCCCTAGGAAGGAGGCAAAGCAAACCACTTCTGAAAAACCTTGTCAAGAAAACTGCAGGGACTTGTCCAGGCAGACTCTGAGAATCAGACATGACTGTATGGATAGGGGGGAAAAAAAGCTAGATATTTGTTTTTTAAAAAAGCACAAGTTCAAAATACTCAACTAAAAGAAATGGGATAAAAAAGAAAAAGGAATGGGAAGGAAGAGGAAAGCAAGCAAATCCAGGAATAAATTCTTAAAATAGTAGCAGTTAAACAAATCAAAGGAAAAAGAGTTTGAAGAAACTAGTCTTTCAGAGAAACTGATGGGAAGACTCTCCCTCTGACACAATCTACTGGAATGTAGCAGACTTTTAAAAGAGGTTGATTGTTCTCAGTATAATAGGGGATATGAATTCTCATAACTGGATTAACACTGCACTTTTTCTTTGTAATATATTCTATTTTAATTTGTAAAATGAATTGCAAAATAATTCATGTTATGAATAATATTCAGATTTCTTCTTTAAAAATTAGTGAGATATCTAATAGAAGAGATACATTAATTAAATTTCTAAGAAACTTCCACTATACAATTTGTATTCTTGTACTACTTTTTTTCAAACAAATGGGAACAATGATGGCTATTATCTTACACACTTACCTGAAATAAATCTCAGTTAAATAGGAATTACTTCTAAATAGGCATTCATATGATTATAATTTTTTTAAAAGTTTGATATTGTGCAGAATAATAATACACAATTTGTTTATTTGTTTATTTATTAAATTTGTATAGCCACCCATCTCACCAGAATTGACTCTGGGCGGTGCACCACAATCAAATAAAAACAGAATACAATCATTATAAAAATATAAAACAATAATTTATAACCTTTATAAATGTAGCTATCTTTTTCCTTTAAATTCCAAGGGTTGGGGGTGAGGGCAGGGAGCGTACTGTTTGATGTAGTTTATTATTGCCTGTTTGGCAGATGTCTTTTAATTCTTCCCTCCCTTTGTGTGTGTTTGTGTGGGCACTCATTCATATATAAAGAACTGCTATGTAGAACACCAAATATTTGTATATTTAATTTTAGAAATCCTGTTTCTTAAAATCCTATTTGTTATGGATTTTAAAAAGTAGCAAACAAAAATGGAAAATTATCTTTTTTAAAATAAAACTTGACTGAAGCTAATTAGGCTTAATTAAGAGAACATAAAACTTAGTAATTTTTAAAAAAGAAACAAATAATAAAATGATTTTCAAATTTACTAGCTGTACTATATGACAAAATATTAGATATTAAGAATCATTTGAAGATGATCGGTGTTTTCTAATGTTTAGCTATTACAGTAAATGGGGTAATATTATAGAACAATTCTTAATACAAAACTAAACTACAAAACCAAATATGTGCATTCTGAAAAAATAATTCACAAGTTCCAATTTATTTAGTTTTCGAGTTCTCAAAGCAATTTAAACAAGGGCTGTTCTTTGCCCTATAATCTATCCTTTATCCGGATTACTGATAGAATGTTTTTACTGCAATCTCTGCCAGAGCTCATCTTTTTATTGTATAAGCCCAAACCCCCTTAATGTTTTAGAAAGGCCTTGACTAACTGAACTTTGATCTGATGTCTTCATTGAGAAAAGCTCCAGGTTGCCCATTTCAGATGCAAATCCTTACTGAGGCCCAAGAGAATTTAGTAAGGACAGCAAAAAAGAAGAAACAAGAATTTTCCAGGATCCTCTTTGAGAATCCTGGGGAACACTGGTGTCCCTAATCCATACAATTGCATGGATTAAGGTAGGTGATAACCTTTTTTGATTTTAAAGAATGAGCACAGTGCCTACAAACTGCATGGAGACCTAGGATTTGGCTGCAGTAAAACACTAGGTAATAAAAGCCTGCCTATGTCAGAAGCCTGTGAATAGACCTCAATGTACCCACATTCCCAGGACTAGTGGGGAAGCTTGCAAAAAGCCCACCTGAATCAAGTAAGCATGAATAATCTGTCTTAGCAGCAGCATGATCACAGAGTCTGCAAAAAAGGAAGAAAGTACATTTCTCTTAAGTATGAGATAATAAATGTATTTTAAGAGAAAAATATACTTCTTATAAGTTACCATGCACAAGAAATAAACTAAATTATCATGGAACAGAATCTGGCTTTCTGCTATTAATGTTTCTGATTGCAATACTAATGTGCTAGAAATACTCAGATTTAGGATGAATCAAGGCATAAAATTGATTTCATGCTGTGATAGTTTATATATTGCCCTAAGAATACAAGAGGTTCATTCATTAAAAGAGGAAGAATAAAAGAGATAAAGAGGCACGTGAAAACTGCATTTGTTATAAACATTAATCTTCTAAACTTGAATTTAAAATGTTTAGCCAATTACAGAAAATAGCTAAACTATCATCCAAACTGTTGGACTCTGTAGCTCAAACTGTGCATCTGGAACATAAGAGTTGTTAAATTGCAACTAAGAAATCCTGTTTAAAGCTTTAAGGGTTTCAAGGCAGAAAGAGATGATAAAATTACTAGGAGAAATTTCTTCACCAATACCTTCCCTCATCTCTATATGTCACATGCTACTTAAATGTCCGAAATAGCATGTTAGGGAAGAAGTTCCAGCCAGTTCTCTCAAACAATAAAGATATTTAAAACCTTTCAAATGTTTTATCAGAGACAGTTATACATGAATGTGGCAGTGATGTTGATGATTTAATGATTTTTAACTAGGCAGAAAATGAATATGAGTGCAACTATAATTAACAAATATTGATGGCTAGATGGTATTAGGATGATGCAGTAGTGCCCCTCTGTCACTAGAGATGAACAATAAAAACAGGGTGGTAGAAGTCCTGACTGTGCCCAGCTGATCAAACTGGGGAGTTTCATTGGTAGAGCACAAAGCTTCTATTTAGATGGCTCAGTCCTGGCATGCCGGCAGTGACAGCCTTGAGGCTTATGTAATCCATTCTCTTCCTCCAGCTGCTGTCAACATGGTTGTGGTGGAGAAAATAGATGTAGCAAATAAAATGGAGGCACCCCCTCCTCCTTGTCTTTTGGACATGGCCATGGTCAAACCCAACTCCTCTCTTTGCCTAATCCTGTCAGATCCAAATTGACCCTCCCTGCCTCCAGACAAAGGCCGCTGCAGTCCCAGCTAAACCAAAGAACTGAAGCCTTGTTCACTGGCCAAGGGCAATGCTAATAAAGGAACTGCAATATACTAACCAAGTGAAAACTGCTACATTCCATTCCATTCCGAATCGAATCGGGGACACTTGGCTGATTACCTCAGAGTTCCATCTCCTCAATAAGGGATTTCCTCAGCTCTGCTGCTGCTCCTGAAAGTGTGGTTTTGCCTAACAAAAGAAATAGCCCCAGGCAGGAAGGACCTATCTAAGTTTTCCTCAAATTCCC